TGTTTGTGCATGGATGCGAGTTTAAACTAGTTATATACATATTGCAAATTACTTATATACCTTGTACATTTGAAACATATATATACTCTAAACTTTCAAAAACAACTTATATCATCGTTACTGCACCATTTAAAGCTGTTAATACCTTACTCTAAATGCTTTCATAATACCAATGTTGCCCCAGACTCTAACAAAAAAAATCAAGGAATTGAATATTTCTAGGTTAGCCTACATAGATACAACAAATGAGGGATATTTTTCTCAATGGCTGACATACCTGGAACAGATCTTTCCCTCTTACAACACAAAACTAGACCGAATTAGATCTTTGTCAGGTGGAGCTTAAAAGCACTGATCAAGAATAAAATCTCGTTGAAATTTGTGAAGAACCAGACACATCAATAGATGACGGCCAAAAGCAGATGAAACCCTCATAACTTTATTAGAGAATGGAGTACAAATAATTGAAACAAATACCAAAATGTTTGTGGTAGATATAGTTGTTTGGTGAGTGTTGATCGTAAAAGACATCTTAGCTTTTGCAGGCTGAGAAGAAGAAAAAGATAGGGGGGAAGAAGGAAAAGAAGAAAAAGAGGGGAGAGAATGGACCTTGTAAGTTTATCAATTGAAATTAACATTTAAAATAGGGGTGGATTCAAGCTAAGCTGAGCCGAATACTTGGCTATTCGAGCTCGACTTGTAAAAATAGTTTTAGGTTAGAGCTCAAGCGTTTGAGCTCGATTCGAGCTAGAGACTTGAGCTTATTGACCTTGACTCAGGTCAAAAGCTCACAAGTTTGAGCTCGGCTCATCTCGAGTTCGACTACAAGCCAAGCTTTTTCTAAAAAGTAAAAATTATACATATAAATTTTTTTTTTATTTTACATACAAAAAATTAAGAATTATAAAAATTATTATTATACATAAAAATAAAAATATTATTATATATAATAAAATTATTTATTTATTATACTAGGCTCGATTAGGCTTGCGAGCCTTACGAGCCGAGCTGCACAAGTCTTGAGCTTGGCTCAATTAGCAAATGAACCTATATATTGATCTCAAGCTTAGCTTCAATCTCAGCTTGAAGCTCGGTTTAAATTGAGCTGAACTGAGTTTTTTACGAGCCGAGCTCAAATAGCTCATTAGAAGCTCAGCTCGTGGCTATTCCTAGTTTAAAAGGTCAACAAAGGTATGTATTAGTTGTTTTTGAAAGTTCAGGGTATATAATTAATTAATCCATAATTAAATATAGTTTATATACAAATATGTAATATACATGCATATATATTATATTTATACATATTATATATTATAAATATAATATATATAATATAGGTAAAATACTTGGTTAGTACCCTGTACTTTGGCTCGAGTGACAATTTGATCCTCAAATTTTCAATTTGCGACAATCCAATACCTGATGTTAACTCACTGTCAATTAAGGCCATCACGTGAGATTAGGTGCAGTTTAAATAATTTCATAATGCCAAAAATAACCTTAATAATAATATTCAGATCATTTTACCCTTTTCCTTTCTTTTTACCCTATTTCCCTTTCTCTTCAATCTGGGTTGAAGGAAAGAAGGAAAGGAACGACAGAAGAGAGGTGGCGTTAACTGACCGACCATTCTTCATTCGGAGCACACGCAGCTTACCCCATTCCGTCCCTTTCTCTTGAAACCGGGTTAAAGGAACGACAGAGGTTGAAGTATTAATAGTAGTCTTCTCTGGCGCCAGCAACAGGCGTTCAAGAGTATTAAGGACAAGCTGTGCGCGAAAAGCTAATCTGATACTTCGAGCTTCGAACTCTTCCTACCCTGGTGGAAAAACTATCAATTCCAACGTTGCCGAACTAGTCGAAGATCATGGTATTCTAGCTTACCCCTTCTCGCCAGAGAAGTTGGAAGAGCTTGCGGAGATAGAGAGGGCAAAACAGGAAGCTCAGACTTTGGAATCGATTTTGGTCTCTGGTGATCGAGACTTTGTGATCGGAAAAAATGATGCTAAGGTAGTAAAATGATCCCTTATTAGTGGTTTTACTCCCAACCCTGTCTCTTGTATGGAATTAATTACTTGGTGATTTGCTCTTTCAGGTCTAGGTGTCCGGACTTGTTGGAAGAACATTCTCCTTTACTTCTTGGCACATTGGTGCCCCTCTTGTCGCGCATTCCTACCAAAGCTTATCGAGGCATACCATGAAATCAAAGCCAAAGATGATCGTGACCAGAAGTCGTTCAAGATGATTTCTATTCTGGCATGCCGTGGTTGAGAAAGCAGTCTCTGTCTCGCTGCAGGTTCAAGATCGACGGTATTCCTACTGTCATAGCCATCGACCCTAGTGGCTAGACTGTCACCATGGACGCGAGAGCTCTTCTAATGACTCACGGCGCAGCTACCTATCCCTTCACTGATGAGCATGTGAAGCAAATTGAGGAACGACTGGAAGCAGCCAAGAAGGACGGGCGGGTCTGTGAGAGAGAGGTTTGCCGTAAAGCTTGAGTTAGTTCGTTCCCTCTTGGTGTTGTCTAGCCCTGTCATGTTACCATGTGGAGTGTGAAAAAAAACAAGTAACCAGGGAGGTGTTAACTGATGAGGTTATGGCTTTAGGGAAGATTTCTATGCCTATATGCTCATCTTCTTCTGATGGAAGTTGAATCCAAGAATGTTTGCTCATGCTATATAAAAACCTTGTTTGTCTTCTCCGGCGCCAGCAACAGGCGTTCTCTTCTCTGACGACGGTGGGATTAAAAACACTTCTAATGGCGACAAATGCTCTCTGTTCTGGCGATATTTTTCCAATAAAATGGTTCGTATGATGCTCTCCGGCAATGTTTTTCCCCTGATTTGAGCTTTTTGGCGCCATATTTCGATTATTAGCACCGGCAGGGAGAACTCTGTTCTTCGAAAGGTTAAAGCAGTGAACATTGGTTTCCACTCGAAGAGAATGCTATTATAGTTGAGGTCATTTTTGTCATTTCAAAAATGATTTAAACTTGGTTATCGAAAATGAGATGGATATTTACGTCTTTTTATGCCGTGACTGAAAGTGAATTAATGCCGGGTATCAAATTATCACAAATTGAAAGTTCGAGTATTGGATCGTCATATTTTAAAATTTGGGGACCAAATTGTCACTCGAGCCAAAATACATGGTATTGATTGGGAATTTTTCCTAATATATATAATATATAAATATATTATAACTAATATATATTATAAATACATAACACAATAATATGTAAATATATATCATCATAAAATGTTAAATGGGCTCAGGTTGGGTTAGACGCAGATTACCGAGGCGACAACCAAAGTCTAACACAAATTTAGTCATGCCCCAAAAAAAGTTTTGGCATGGGACCAATATGAAGCCTAAAAATTCAAGCCTAACCCGTGCGAGATGTCGAATTGGGAGGGGTGAGCATTCCACTCGAACTCCTGCACCGTCCTCACTAACACCAAGTTCTCGTGTAGTTCTTGAAAATTTTAATTTCAGGACAAGGTTTCGTCCAATTCCATAAGATGCAAAAGAAGCATTACACTCATTTTAATTCTTGAAAAATAGAAGGAACTAGTGGCTTAACTAAGGCATGACCGATTTTTGTTTTCCTTGTTTATTGCTTATGGTGGAAAAGCTTAACATCTCTGTAAAGGGGGGATAGCTTGTTGAGAAGAGCTTTGTCGATGGAAGGATGGAGGTGGCCTGGGCATGGTTGGGTCAAGGGGATAGCTTCTCTATCAGCAAACTATGGTTTTCCTTTGTTACTCCAATACAACAAACTTATTGGACTAGGATGCAAAGACCTCCAAATAGCTTCAAAATCTCCAACAAAAACAAGTAGGAATGACGGAAGCGAACCCATTTCGTAAATCCTCCTCTCTTTCTGTAATTCCAGCCAGCCATCCCCTATATTCTCCTCCAGTAATTGCCCTACCTCCATCTTACTAGATCAATCACCATCACACTCGTATTAAAGTAGCACAACTTCCTATGAAAACCCTCTAAGAGAAGAAGAAGAGGAATGGCGATTAACATTGTGAGGGTAAATAGAATATTTTCGTTTGATAGGAGGAGAAGTGGCTTTAGATGGTGCTTAAAGGGTATTTTTAGGAATTTTGAAAAATATAATAATCACGTGTGAACAAAGTGTAACGGAAAGGAGATTTTAGTCAATTGTCAGAAAACTTGAGGATACTTTAAGACAATATGTAAACAGTATGGGTAGAATTAGTCAATTAACTAAACCATAAGGGTAGTTTAAGAAATTTGCCCTTTGGCTGTATTTAATTAAAAACTCTACAGTGAATCATCTTGGACAAACTTATATATATACCGGAATTTAAAAAAAAAATATATATTTCAATGATTTTCCAAGAGATGTGGTCTTTTAAGTGAAATTTATTTAAGGGATAAGTAGACTGCACTCCACCTTAGAAATCTAAAATTACAACCCCCTCCTAATCTATTAGTAGCTTCCCTATAAATCACATCTTGCCCATGGATTTGACATTCATCCACGGTCAGATTCATCCCACCTGTACGGTGGGGCTCAGATTTCTGGGGTGGACTAAACAATAAAAAGGGAGAATGGCTGATCAATCCACGTCAGAATGTTTTAGCCCCACCGTACTTTTACCCCAATAAAAAAACACTTTATTTAATGGTGAGTCAATATCTTTTACTCATGGGACAGGTGCTGATTTCCGGGAGGGCATTCATTGCAGTTTAGTTTGCCCTAATGTGCGACGTGGCAAAGAGCACCCAGTTTGCTCTATTGAGAGTCTGAAAGAAGAGCCCATCCTACTTTCCCACCCAGCCAACGATAGAACTCGCTTTCCAAATAAAGATGAAGAGAGAGAACTCAAAATTTTGAAAGCTAGGTAACCGTTGAGATCTCTAAGATCAACGTGACTTTCCCTCCCAAGATCCAACGGGCACCATTCACTAGCCGTTGGTTTTAGAAAAAGATATCATATGCGGACATTATATCCATTATTTCCGACTGTGTTTCGGTATTGATTTCGTTTTCTTTTTTCCTTGACAAGCCAGAAACCTAAAATAACCGGAAAGAAGAGAAGAGACTCCAAGATAAAATGCCTCCATTGCTCCTCTGAATGGAGTTTTATGAGTAGTCTCTATCTCTCTCTTCGAGTTTGCAATTCTGGTCAGATTGACGGCGTTCACCGCCGGAGTTCGGCCAGTCGAAATCGAAAAGGGTTATTTAGGGGGTTTTCTGTAGGTTGGTGATCGTCGTCTACGATTTTATGATGTCGGTTTTGGTTGTTGAAATTTATTCTTGTTTGCATTTCTATTTTACATGACCTGAGTTAGTTCCGGGGGTTTTAGTGTTCTTCTAGTTTTTTTTTTCTCGTTTTCTTCTTCCTAAAAATATTTGGATTGTTTCTTCTTGTTAATTGTTCTTGTAGATAATCAATATGGTTGGATCAGATGAGAACAACCCAGGAGTTTTAAGACCTGCAAATTTGCAAGGTATTATGATCGTGTTTTAGTTTTTATTTTATTTTTGAAGGGGAATGGAAAGAGCAAAGCCATCAAACACTTTATCTGAAACTATGATTTTATCTGTAAAAAAATAAGTTCTATTATTATGAATTTTTCATCTTTTTCTTTTTAATTAAAAGGTGGGCTTCCAATGCGAGATGGTAAGTTCGTCCCGGAGATCGGATATAACCGAAGAGCTCTGAGGAACATTAATCGGAATTTAGTTGGAGCTCACCCTTACCCTCCTTTGGTCAATAAGAGAGCCCTATCAGAGTAATTTCTTAAACCCTATTCTAAAGTCCATTCTTTCTCTCAATCTAGTCAGGACTAATTCGTCTTTTCTTAGTTGATATTCTAATTTTAGTTATCTGTAACTCAGAAAACATGCAATCTGTGATAAGAACCCACTCCTTCCGGCTCATCGACCAATTACAAGGTGGAAAATAAACCTTTGTTTTCATTTCTTTGTAGGAAATTGCTTGTATTTATTTTCATGGAGGAGCTATCATAATTGGTTTACAATCTTTGTTTAGGAAATTTGCTGCTCAAATGGCCAGTAGGCAGCAATCTTGTCCCGAGGTACATCCTTCATACTACTGAAGAAAAAAAAAGACAATTTGTTGCTTTTGCATTGCTTAATCATAGTAATTGGTCTTTTCGCATTTTGTTTAAAGGAGGTCAAAAAACCAATCCCGCCGGTTGTGAATCCAAGCGTGTCCCAAGATTGTACTATCATAGATGTGGATGATTATAAAGGAGCTAATGATTTACCTGTTCCCATGTTCGTCAATCACACTGAAGACATGCTGGATGAAATTGACCAGATGGTATGTGAAACACTTTGATATGGATTTCTGGCCATGTCGGTGGAAGCATGAAGCATCAACTTTGCTTTTAAATCTTGTAGGAAGAGGTGGAAATGGAGGATATAGTGACGGAGCCTGAAATGGACATCGACAGTGGTGACAAAAAGAACCCACTTGCAGTTGTTGAATACATTGAAGATATCTATTCTTACTACAGAAAAACTGAGGTGACCCTTCACTGGCTCCTCTGTTTAAAACAACATGGTTTTCACATGCTTCATCCAGAATATCTCCTCAAATTATTGAGTAACCATGATAATATTTTCTTGTCTCAATGCAAGGTGGGGTTGCATATGGTGTCTTTGTCCGAATTTAAATTTAATTAAGGGATCCAAATTTGATTTATTTATAATTGGATCTAACATGGATCCTCCAATCCCATAGTATTGAAAATATGCTTATATATGCATCTATTTGTGAAGTTAGTTTCAATGTTGAAAATCATTTGTAAATTTGTTCATGATATATGCACGTCATTTCTAGTTCATTTTATTAACAATATGAAACACTTTGATAATTTTTAATTTAATTTATTAATCATATATGATATTCAAATTTAGTATGATGGATAAGATTCGATTCAGTTTGCAGCCTTGGCAATTGATCTAGCACTAGGACACTTCACCATCCATACTCCATCCAATAGTGGTGGGGGCATATCCTCGAACATTCCCTTGATTTTTTTTAATAAACAGAGGGCACTCCATTCAGATGGAAATTTAATGACCCGCCCAAGCATGTGATCATATTATTGCTTATTATATTTTCAGATGGAAAATCCGATCAAGTCAGACAGTTCCATTCCATCCAGTCAGGGACTCGTCCGATGGATGGCAGATGGTGCAAAATTTTGGAGATTGGACTGAACATTAGAGGAGAAGAGCTCTGATAAACTAATTTGAGAATTGAGATTGATTAACTTACAAAACCATGTCTGTGCAGAATTGTAGCTGCGTCTCACCAAACTATATGATGCAACAGTTCGACATCAACCAGAAAATGAGGGCTATTCTCATTGATTGGCTAATTGAGGTATATAAAATTGTGTCCTAGTGGCCTGATTCCTGGAATGAGAATAATTGGACATATGGTTATAGCCAGCCTTTGGTAATGTTTGATCCCCCTGATATAGTTGGTGGAAGTCGCGTGGCAGATTACCAAATTGGGCACCTTTCAAGGGTTACTAATTTACTTAAACAAATCTCACAGGTACACTACAAGTTTGAACTCGTGGATGAGACTTTATTCCTTACTGTCAATCTGATAGATAGATTCTTAGCACGGGAAACAGTGGTAAGAAAGAAGCTTCAGCTGGTAGGGGTGACAGCCATGCTTTTAGCGTGCAAATATGAGGAAGTTTCTGTTCCTGTTGTGGATGATTTAATTCTAATATCTGACAAGGCTTACACAAGGAAGGAAATTCTTGAGATGGTAATTTTCCTGACCCCCTCAATGGGGCACCACTGCTAGTTAATTTTCAAAAATAGTAAAGTAAAAACAGCTTCCCATGGTTGCAGGAGAAATTGATGGTCAACACTTTACAGTTCAACATGTCTGTCCCAACTCCTTGTGTTTTCATGAGAAGGTTCCTCAAGGTGGCTCAATCTGACAAGAAGGTTATTATTAATATTCTTTCACACATCACCTTTAATCTGTGGATGCCCATTTAATTTGGACCAGCTAAACTTAAGCAAAATAATCTTAATGAGGATTTACTTGTGACTTTGAACCAGCTTGAGCTTCTCTCCTTCTTCCTGATTGAACTTTGCTTGGTTGAGTATGAAACGCTCAAATTCCGACCATCTCATTTAGCTGCAGCTGCAATCTACACTGCTCAGTGTACTCTTAGTGGCTATAAGCAGTGGAGTAAAACCAGTGAGTGGCATACTAGCTACTCAGAAGATCAGCTTCTGTGAGTGATCCATGCATTTCCTTCAACAAGTTGCACTACTTCTTATGGGTCAAGAGATGTCCTATTTATGAAGTGTTGTTTATTATTATGCTTTCAGGGAATGCTCTAGATTGATGGTTACTTTTCATAAGAAAGCAGGATCTGGGAAGCTTACGGGGGTCTACAGGAAGTACAGTACATCTAAGTTTGGTTATGCAGCAAAGATTGAACCAGCTCACTTTCTCTTAGAGACAAGACTCTAACTAAAAATGAGTCAGTGGCCCCAAAATGACTCATTTTGTGTGAAATTTAGTTTTTCAAGGGTGCAGTTGTGCAACAGAAGTTGCCCTCTGAAAACGAACAACAGTCTTGGTGGGATTTGTTTTGTTGCCACATAACTATTTATTTTGTGGCATGTCTTTAACATACTTGGATGCTATCACGCCAAACCATAACTGTTTTACTTTACCCTTTTTTTTTGTTTTTTTTTTCTATTTCCTTTATATCTGTGTTTTATTTATGAACTTATTCTCAGACAATTTGTCTTTTTGTGAATATGATAAGAAAGATCATGCAGAAAAGCCTTCGATTGGCACCAGAGTAAAATACAGCTGTTATCTCTATGTTATTTTCTCATTGGATTTCCATACCAAGAACACCAGAGTAAAACCTGCAGAAAAGCATCAGTTATCAATCACTACAAAGATCATGCAGCTTTCTATTGGCACAAAGGAAACGAATGACAATCAAATACCCCAGTCCCACCCACTCCTCCATGTCATCTTCAAGCTACTCGGTTTAAATGTCATAATAGACAAAGTAAACTAAAGATGGCACCCATATAATTGAAAATGCCAAAGTTGTCATCACGAAAGAGACTAATGTGACAACATGAGGCAAGTGTAGAGCAATTTCAAAAACCTAGGGGTACATCATCATCAAGCCTTATGAGTGTCATATCCATTATTTAAGTTATGGGTGGGGAACAGAATATTTTACTCACTATGTTATGTTACTTGCAGAGTAAACATGATAGCGTCTGACTATGATACCACAACAAGATAAAGATAAATCCAAAGCAAAAGCAAAAACTATAATGAACTCAGTCCGTTTGCACTCTCATGCATTTGCATCAATGCAAATAAAACTTTCTGTAGTGCAAGGGAGTGCAAATGGGATGAAAGTAAATTATGGTTTACTTTTACTTGGAGAAAGTAAAATGATGTGGCGTCCACTTTACATGAAAGATAGAGCAAGCAAGAGGAAGGGTATTCATATAGGAGTAAGGTAATAGCAAACTGCGTTCTGATAGTTTTATCCATTAAAAAAATAGACTTCTAAAAGTCCTCCACATGTAATAGCATTTGGTCTAACACACGATATATATCTAAAAGTGAACAACAATTATGAGGCTGTATTTTGGATAAAAAAAATAATGAGAATTCAAGGGACAAAAATAATGCATTTTAGTATCTTCCCTTTACCAAACACAACAGGTTCATCCTCAACACTCTACTCTAAACCCCACATTATCCATTCAAATTTTAAAATAGAAGGAAAAAATTAAAAACATCAAAAAACAAAAGATGAGTAAATTAATTAAGGTAAATGCATTCACTAAGCTCATTTTAACAATCACAAAAGATGAGTAAGGAAGAGGGCTAACCAGTCACGCTGTAATAAATTGAAAAGGTAACCCTTCAGCTCACTGCAAACACTAAGATCAACAGGCATATTGAGACTTTCAAACAGAAATCCGATGGTTCAAGATAGTGACTGACCTCAGAAAGAAGCCATATTGAATGGGAACCATATACAACCATCTAGCTTTGGACGTCTAAATCTAAGAACAGATTACAGAAAATGGGTTTCTAAAATGCAATACAGAGCCCCAAATAAGGCATTCATAATACAATTTGCAATAACAAAAGAAACCTTAAGGCTGAGTTTCGAAGGAGTACAAATGCAAATATGTAGAGTGCAAAACCTTATATTTTGTATTGTTTTGTATGTATTTATGCTGTACATATTTGCATTTGTACTGCTTCCAAACTGAGCCTAAAGATGTAGATGAACTGAAGTAGAAATTAGTTTCTAATTTCTAAGACAGTGCATTTTTCTTGGCTTTTTTTTTTGAGGTGACACTATTTTAAGGATCTTTAGCGGATTAAAAGAGATGTGGGAACCTGACCTCGAATGCTAAAATGATAGAAGTCGAGGATCACATGACAAATCCCATTTTTCTCTTCTACGCGATGACTTTTCAAATCATCTATTTGTATTCTTAAGAAATGAGAGGTGAATATAAAATTTTGTTGGGCACTTATGTTGTTAAAAGTCAATAACATTCCCTCGTCATTAATAGTAGTATGAAATCACTCATTAGGCTGTGTTTGGAAACGATGCAAATGGAGTGTAAATCCCAATTCAGGGTAAATTTGCACTATGGTTCACTTTTGCCCTTGTTTAACAACATTACATTTATGCATTGGCAAATGATTCCAGTGCATATTTACATTGATAATAAGATGTAAAAGTACATCAATAAATATTGATAAAAAAAAGAAGTAAATTTGCATTCAAGTGGGCTTTTGATTAAAAAAAAGGCATATACTTTATTAGAATTTGTGTTTGCATCCATTACAGTTTAGTAAAAACACAAATTTGTCAGTGTAAAACTAACCCAACTTTGCAATTTATATGAACCATTTTATACTCTACATATTTGCATCATTTCCAAACACAGCCTTGAAGACAATTTATCAAAAAAAGTATTCATATAAAAACGGATGACTATTTTTGTCTTTTCAACCGCACTTGTAAGAATTGAGAGGGAGAAGGGCTTCATGTGATCAATATGGTGGGAGATTCTGGTCTCCACACTTTCCTCTTATATATAGATATAGATAAGAATCTAGAGTCACAGGAAAAGTGAAAAAAGCTAGTTTGATTACACAAATTTAAGGTCCAGTGGGCTTCAGATCCAAGCTAATTTGATTTAGTTAGAAAAAAACGAATATACTTGATTAGGCTTTAGGCATATTTCATCACACCATGTATCTGGTCATTTTTGTGGTCAGGTGCATTATTCTATTCAAAAAGTTGCTTTGATCTCTTCTGCACTGTTGGGCCCCGGGTACACAAACAACTGTTGTTGTCTGCTGTTGCTTTTTAGTCATTCTCTTCGCTCCACCTTGTGTTCGTCCCTAATGGAGAAATTTAATCATGAATATTTCCCTATAGGATATATTGAACTAAACAACATTCTATTTGTTGATAACCGTTACATATATTCATTAACGTTCAGTGCATCTTTCTATCACACAGATCCCAATTAAGAGAAAAATTCTATTAAGCTTTTCATGATTACTTTCTATTTGATCTCAAATATGGTTACTTACTTTCTCTTAAAGCCCCGTATGATTTTCATCCATATTCTTAAGGCCCCGTATGATTTTCATCCATATTTGATCTCAAATATGGTTACTTACTTATTTTCTCAAATAAGTGTATTTATCCATATTCTTTTATTTCCCAAGTAAAAGAAGTAAATGATCATTTTAACCATAAAAATCCATTATTAAAAGGAGCATTTTTGTCCCATTCAAGTGTTGGAAATTTTTTCCTGGTGAGAAAGTTATTTACCATGGTTTTCAAAATTGGACCGGACAATTGAATTGGAAAACTGGGAACTGGATAAGTGATTGATTCCATTTTACCCCAAAACCGTTATTTCGCCAAAAACCGTTGATTTGGTCAACAAACCACTGACTCGGGTGGTCGAACCCTCCAATGGTTTGGCCATTTTTATTTTTTTGTCAAAACGGGTCGTCCATTCGGTTAGAATGGTCAGACCATTCAACTCGGGAATTGGACCCTTGACTGGTTCGCTATCCGGTTTGGTTTTAAAAACCTTGTTATTTACCCACCTAGGAAGTGATACCCAGGAAAATAAACTTTCCCTAGTTCCCACATTAATCTGAAAAAATATCATGGGATTCTTGATCAATGGGATCTGCTCTATCAACCTCCCTCCACAAAAAAAGAAAAAGAAAAGAAAAAGAAAAGAAAAAGAAGGGATTGTTCAATCTGTGAGGTTCTTATGTACAAGTAGCGGTATTAATGAACCCCTTTTAGATTGGACTCCCTCATTCCATCCAAATCAAAATCAATTTGGATGAATTGGATGGACCAATAACATAATGAATTGGACCAGCCAAGACTTAATGATCTAAAGTATTTATTGGATTGGATTGGACATGATTCATCCAACCACCTGTAATGGATTTATATTGGATTGGATCAAATTGAACCAATATTCGGTCCATTAAAACCAATTTGAACTCCAAACATTGAATTGGTCTGGTCCAAAATGGTACAAAGTATTCATTGGATTGGATTTGATCCATATGTAAGGGGTAGGTGTCAATGGACCAGTTTTGGATTGGACCTCATTCAGGCCAAAATCAATTTTGGACGGATTGGATGGACCAACAAGACATATTGGATTGGACCAATCCGGTCCAAAATATTTATTAGATTGTATTGAACCTGGTCTGTCCGTAACAAATTTATATTGGATTAGGTTGGATTAAGCCAATATCTAGTCCATTGATATAAGATAAGAATATATGTATCAATGGACTAGATTCGAGTTGAAACCAATTTAAATCAAAATGAATTTTAACAGATTGGACAATCCAGACATTGAATTGAACCAATCCAAATTAGTTCAAAACATTCATTGGATTGGATTAGACCTGGTCCATTTATAATGGACTCACATTGGACTGGATAGGATTGGACCAAATCCGGTCCAATTGACATCGCTATGTATAAAGTACCCAAAAAAACATAGTTTTTCATCAAAGCATTTCAATCTTCAACTTAGATCATTGGTGTTATATATCGCATAAAATGGAATATAATATTTTATTGTTATTTGAAGCACTGGTAAGTTCTACTAGTGGAAAGGCACGTGCCATGCACATTGCAAATAAAAACAGAAAAGTAAGTAGATGAAATAATATTTAGATTTGAAAGTATTTTTTTTTCTGTAAAAACATTTAAATTTATAGGTCTGATAATCTGATTTAAGGCATATATTGGCATTATATATATGAGTAAAGGTATAAGATAAATGAGGTATGAGAACCTTTATGTTTTTTGATGAAATTCAATAGCAAATCATCATCTAAGCTTTATTGTAACTATATGGGAATGAGGGCCAGGGATCTGCTACCAACAAAAGACTCCCAACAGGTCAGCAATCCTACATTAGGAACATTTCCCTTTCATTCATGTGACAGGATCTGCTCTTCACACTTGGGTGCCTTGCATGCACACCGTGCATTGAGAACATCTCCCATGAAAAATAATTTATAAGTATTAGAGATGTTTCCAATGCATGGTAGGATGTGCGTGTGAGGCGCCCTATGTGAGGAGAAGATCCAGTCTCTTCATTCATGGGGAAGATATTCCCGATGTGTGGATGAAGTGGCCTGTTGGGACATGTTGAGAGTGTATTATTGGCAGCAGATTCCATAGTGGAGACGGGATCTGCTCCTTACAAATGGGCGTCTCAAATGCACATCCACTGTGCATTGGTAACATCTCCTGTGAGTAATAACTAATATTCACGGGAGATATTCCCAATGCATAGTAGGATGTGCGTGTAAGGCACTTGTGAGACGCCGGGTGTGAGGAGCAGATCCAGTCTCCCATAGCGGGGGTGGATGGCTCCCCGACTTCTATTTGCCATTTTGTTCTATCCAATTCTATGTTTATTGTTAAATTTTGAGCATTTAAATCATTTCTTATTTTCTATTACATCCACTCTTTTGTCTTCTGCCCAAAGAAAAAAAAATCTTTTTACTTTTAACCAATGTGAGTTGCTCCAAGTTGATAACCAATATTAAGGGGGTGTTTGGTACAGTAGTATTATATTAATGTTACATTTTGAGCTGATCAATACAAATTTATAAGAAATACGAGTATTATTTTAATTAAAAAAATGCATGTATATGAAAAATATTTTCTAAGATTTGAGCAATAATAGCAATTTGTATTGATAGCATTTCAAAGTAAAAAAATATCACTAAACACAAGGACAACGAAACACCACCTCCCAAATGCCCCCTAAAACTTTTGTGAAATTCCTATGGTCATGGAAAACCCAATAAACAAATGTGATTTTTCATTTCAAGGCGAATGTGCTCCATCAAATTCGTCAAAAAAGTTGTATCCTTTCATTTGTTAAACAGCAACTTGATTACATCTTAGAAAAAAAGCCAGATTTGATATAAAATGATAAAGGTATGGTCATGGACTCATGGTCGCGGCGGGTCGTGGCGCTCTTTTCAAAATAAATGAGAAGAAAGAATATTTTCTTGAAGCCTATAGGGAGAAAGAATAAAAAAAGGGCATTTTCGGAAGGCGCTTTATTGCCGGATCAGGCATCTTTAACGAGTTTGGATCAGTCACCAACGGTCCCAACAACGTTTCGGTTGGTCTTTGGCACCGTGCTGGTAACATTGAACTGTTTTTTGAGAAAAATGGTATTGGGAACATCTTACATGATGTTTGGAAGTATGGACACTTTTTTGGATCGATTTTCAAGAAAAAACGTTTATGCTTGCAAGACTTTCGATTTTTTTATAATCGACTGTACCAAACAATGAGATACATATGCACTTGTTGAAATGCCTATGTGGATTTGATGTAATACCGTTTTTTTGAAAAATGGCCACGGTTCCAAACATCCCCTAATGTTTCAAAAAACGGTATTTATTTTTTGTTTGAAACCGATGCTATCATATAGGTATTTTTTGAGAAAACAGTATTGATTTTATTTGATACAAATTCTGATAGTAACGTTTTTAGCATTGATCTTATTATCCAAAGTCCAAAATAATACCACATCATTGCATTATCGGTAACAATACACTATTTTTCCAAAAAACATTAAATTTAACTTATTCCAAATCATACTTTCCCGATTTCTAAGACATTGTACGAAACAAGGCTGTTTCTTAGAAAACAATACCAAACAAAGACATTGCTTCCATTGCAACCGTATTTTGAGAGACGAGGAAAATGCTCTCCATATATGGTTGCAGTGCCATGTCGGGGAAATGTTGGAAGTGTTTTTGTTGGTTGCAGATACGTACACATCTTTAACACCACGGAAGATGAATAAATAAACGACAAAGTACATACAAACGAAAGCGTTGAAAAGAAGGAGAATCTTCCGGTGGCGTCAATGAGACCTACGTCCTTTACTTTATGCTTTAGCTATATTTTATCGTTAAATAGTTTTTTGCTTTTCTGTTTGCTTGATGATCCGCTAGTAGTTTTTAGTACTTTTGCTTGGGCAATTAATTTCGCAGATCGCAGTGGTCATAGTCATGATGGAATGACAAGTGATAAACGGAGACCGATCTGCTCCTCACAAGTGGCGCCTCACATAGATCTTACAAATACATCCCACCGTGTATTGGGAATATTTTTTTTTACTTATATATTATTATTTATGGAAAATGCTTCTAATGCACGGTGGGATGTGCCTGTATGGTCGTTGTGAGGAGCAGATACCAATTCTGATAGAAAAATGAACTTTGGAGAATCGACACACGAACACGAAGAAAAGATAGGTTATTATTGTCATTTCACACCAATAAAAGTACTGGTGGCACGGTGACATCGAGAGCTCAGAACCTTAGAAAACCATTGGGTCGGTGTTCACAAACGTTATTATCTGGTCTCCACTCACTTTTTTCATTCTTCTGCTGATAGGAAATAATAACTCGACGAGAAGAAACGAGTCTGCTCATCTGCTGCATGAGCTTCTGCTTCTCTTTCTTTCTCCTTTTCCCCTCTTAGGGTTTTCATGCTTTCTCACTGATTCCAAATGGCCTGTGCCAGCGACGAGAGGAGGTCACCGTTCTTCCGAACGCTCTCTACCTGCCTTGTTCTGGAAGAAGAAGAGGGGAAGGGGGAGGAAGGAAAGATGAAGATTTCTGATTCAAAATCCATGGAATATCGTCTCGAGAGGACGTTTCCTGTTTATGCGATGGGAAATTCTAACTCCGACATGAATTCAATTTCGTTGATCAACAATTTCGATCCATCCATGACCGATCCAATTTGGGATGAAGTGATGGCAGAGGCAAAGTCGGAGGTACTGCTGATCTTCGACTTATTTGTAAATGACTTTAAAATGACATCCTTTATTTAAATTGTTCGGATCATGAGATATCGGATTAATGGAGTGTTTTCATTAGTTTACTTATTTACTTTTCGAAGGTTGGAGCGATTTTAGTAGAGTTTTGGTGTAGAATACTATCGTAGATACCGCTTTAAGTTGGAAAACAACTCGCAGAATTGCGGTGATGGTTCATGCATGAAATAATTGAGTGATGCAACGATGAGGTCTTTATGGGACTTTGCATACTGAATGAACCAAGAGAACATGGTTTTAGCTTGACCTTGACTACTCGGCTTTTGAGTGCTTAGTATTTCGGTTATATGAATATAAAGACTTCTGTACGTATTGCCTTTTGCTTCATCAGTTTTTTTTTTTTTTCTTTTTAGTTCATTGAACATGTGATTATTAACTTTGACAGTTTGACTGCACAATGTTATCAGCATATAAGAAAATATTGGATAATTGTTATTTCCTCCCTTTTTGTACCCATTTCAGGCAGAGAAGGAGCCGATTTTGAGCAGCTTCTTGTATGCTAGTATTTTGTCACATAATTGTTTGGAACGAGCTTTGGGATTTGTTCTTGCTAATCGACTCCAGAACCCTACTCTCTTAGCTACACAGCTAATGGATATATTTGACGATGTAATGATGCATGATATAGGTATTCAACGCTCAATTCGCCTAGATTTGCAGGTAATTCACCGCTATTTTCAATGCATATTAGTTTCAGCTCTGCTTTTTGAGCAGCCTCCTCTGTTTTCCAAATTAGGTGAAACCTTTGTTTTTTTTTTTTTTTGAAAGTGAATTTTTCTTGTTTCGGCAGGCATTTAAAGACAGGGATCCTGCATGTTTGTCATATTGCTGGGCCTTGTTATATCTAAAGGTAAAATTTTTGTTGTTTAATGGTATTTGTAACACATACTGATCAAAAAGTTAGTATTTGTTGCACATCATAATGAATATCCTGTTTGGTTCAAAGAGTGTCTAAACCAGACTATGTAACAGAACTTCTGTAATGTAAGAAACTCACCAAAACTACATGTTGCTTGTTCAGAGGATGCTGTTTAGCTTCTTGAGTTATAGCAAGATAAGATTTGTCTTTTCAGCCTGCTTTGACATAGGTAATTTTATTAAATCCTATGAAACAAAGAAGAAGAACACCTGAGAGAAGAAAAAAAAGAACACCCCGAGAGGATTCTTATAAAAGCTAATATTTAGAACTTAGAAGTTAAAATATACCTGCCAAGACCTCCGATCCTAATTTTTCAGGCTTGCCAAGTCTGGCAGCTTGTACTTGTAAATTCCAACACTTGTACCCTTCAATACAACATTCTTGGCGCTGCCGAATGGTATCAAGTTGATGTATCCAATGGACTTTGAACTGATAGAGGTCAAGGGAGACTTTCAGGTTGTTATTTGGGGTTGGCTACATTAGTTCTGTCTTGCCATTGAGCACCTGGACTCTGCAGCATCTTATTAAGGAAGCTAGTTCCTTGGTATCCAGAATGGACATCTTGATTAGATGGAGCTAACTCTTCAGTTAATACTCTCAGTAGGGGTATTGGGTAATTGGGTATGGAGTAAATTGTACTTATCTAGGAATAGAAAGCCTTGATTTAGCCCCATAAACTATTCAATTTCTTTAGATAATAAACATGGGTTAAAATGTCTCTTTGCTTACATGGCAGAAGGTTGTTAGCCTTGAAAGCTTGCCATGTTGACTAATGGTAACATGGAGTAACATGTAAACCTGTCAAGAGTTGCCACCTCAGCTAGGATGTGCAAAATGTTGTTGAGAACAAATTCAATATCTGTTTCTCCAACAGAAAGCCTAATATCTCACGTTGTTGTCAAATAACTATAAGTTGTATCTCTCATTATCGTTATTGATATTGTTATTATATTATTATTGGTATTATTACTTTTGCTGTTGTTGTTAATAAAATTGACATTGGTACTCATTTCTAATTTATGTATATCTAAGATTGTGGACAAAATTGAAGGGACTGCATGATATTGTATAGATAAGAGAACACTAAGTTGATATATAGTATTCCAAATTAATTTTCTAAAGTAGTTGCATGTTTTACACTTGTGCTGACAAGATCCCCTTCTTTTCATTGAGTTGGACTTTTTGATTGAATTCTACCCAATATGATGATTAGTTATCATATTTGCAGGGTTACCATTCTTTGCAATCATATCGTGTAGCACATGCCTTGTGGAACCAAGGACGGAAGGTTTTGGCTTTGGCACTGCAAAGTAGAATAAGTGAGGTAATCTCTGGCCTGCATTGTTTTAGGCTTTCAGATGTGCTTTTCTAACTTTGATTATTATAGCAATGAGGCAATCTTCCTTATTATATTTATGTTTTATCTCTTTAATATCCAGGTTTTTGCAGTTGATATACACCCAGGTATGCTTTTCATTACCTCCCATCCACTGCACCTGTATTTATCATTCATAACGAGGAAGATTGATTTTGTGTAAAGGGGAAATAAATTGTCTTGTAATTTAATAAATAACTCTTTATAGATAAAACTTCTTAAATGGCATGGATGCTATGCATTTTGAGGACTAGGAAATTTCACCATTTGAGGGTAAAACAGTTATTGTTTTATCTTTACTTAATTTTTCTTGTTTCTCTTTTTCTCCTTATCCGCATATGTTTTGGGGGATTGGAGGGTGTTCTCAGACTCATTGGCAGTTCTATTCACAAGATTTATGATGGATACTATAGTTATATGCCATTTTACGTGTTTGCACTGTTGAGAAAATTTTATTAATAGCCAAAAAGTTCTGCTCTGCTTTTAATGGCACATAGGCTGCTAGAAGTGTGTTTTACCATGTTTAAAGTTATCTTGTCAGATAGATTGCTTCATAATGCTTTAAGAGTTGTGTTTTGTTCTCATTCATAAGTGGCTAGACTTATTTTTGCCATATGTTATGCTTCTACACAGCTGCAAAAATTGGACAAGGAATACTATTGGATCATGGAACAGGTGTGGTTATTGGTGAGACTGCTGTTGTAGGAAATAGAGTTTCATTAATGCAGGCAAGTGAACCTCATCCTTCACTTCTGTGTAAATTTTAAATGTTTCATTATCAGGCAGTTTTTTAATGGAATAAGCATTTTTAAATCACATTCTTCTCTATGAGAACTTGGTGTCTATTAATTTTCTTAGAGCCATTTTGGAGTAACAAAAGATTATGGGTGTAGAATTTTGTTCTATTAATACTGGATGGTGTTGATACAATCTAAACTTGCAGATACAAATATAATGTATGTAAAAATGTAGAGTATGCCCTTAATATGATTGTCTATGCCCTTTACTAAGCATACTTTAAACTACATGCCCACTTAGGAGTACCTTCATTTTGTACTTCCACCGGATCAACTTATGATAGTTAAGTTTTCACAGGGTGTGACATTAGGAGGAACTGGGAAGGAAATTGGAGATCGTCATCCAAAAATAGGAGAAGGTGCACTGATTGGAGCTAATGCAACTATACTTGGCAATATTAAAATAGGAGAAGGAGCTATGGTTGCTGCTGGTTCACTTGTACTGAAGGATATCCCTTCACACAGGTATGAAAGAGTTCATACTGTATTTGGTATATGAGAAAACATAAAGCATAAGTCTGTATGTTACCAGAGCATTTGATTGATTTGACATATCTTCTGTTTTGGCTTTATAGCATGGTTGTAGGAACGCCAGCAAAGTTGGTTGGATTTGTAAAAGAGCTAGTCCCATCTCTAACAATGAAGCATGGTATGTTAAAAGTATAGACATCATAAGGATTTACCGGTTTGAGAAGCTGTTCTAAGGTTTTTTTTTTTTTTTTTTTTTTTTTTTTGAGAATGGCTGTTCTCAGAATGGATGGACACAGTTAACACTGGGACACATGTCATGCATAAAAGCGATTAGAGCTCTGATGTAGGACCAGCTCAGTTCTAGTCCTTAAAGAGTGTTGAATGGTCTTCTTGATCAGAAATTTATGGCTTGATGGCTGTAATGGCTTCTTGAAGGAATAAGAGAGAAAACAAGGAGAGAAAGAAGAGAGAAAATACCTGGAATCACTCACAGGGTGCCTAGAATCACTCTAGGGCATGGGAATCACTCACCATAGCTAGCATAAGCTGAAGAAAACTCAATAAATTTCATTGCCTTTGTGTAAAACACCCATACATATTTATAGACTCTAAAGTCATAATAATCGTAGGTGTCAAATTGTTAGACTCATAATAGTTTTAGGAGTCAAACTGTTAGACTTAATAATCTTAGTAGGACTCAAACTAAGCTGACACATCCTATTTCAATTCAAAGAATACTCAATAACTCTAATCCTACTTATGCAATGACTCTGAAATTTTAAACATAAACAAACTATAAATTGACAATTTAAACCCTATCATTGGACCCCACAGAAATTTGCAAAAATGACAAAAATACCCCTACTGTCCAAAAATACAGAAATACATAAAATATCATAAAATTCCAATTTTGACTCTTTAGCTCCTGCATCAAGCTCACTGACCCTAAAAGTCGCCTCTTTAGAGCCATGAGATGGTCTTTCATTCTATGGTGGTTTTTGATTGACCATAGAAAAAAAAAAGGAAAAAAACAACAATAACAAGAGGTTTTGGGGGCAAGGGGGTTGAGATGGTGTCAGTTTTGGTGTTGGAGAAGTTTGGAGAGTATGGGTGTGGATTCCTATGCATGTGCCCCAGATTTTTAGCACATCTTTATTTGGGTTTGCTTGGTGGTTGGGCAAATTATATTTTGATATATAGACCTTTCTTGAACTGTTGCATATAACAGATCATATGCTATGTATTATCGTGGTTTATCAGCTTTGATCCCCATATCTATTGATGTTTTTGTTTATCAAAAATACAGATGCCACGAAGGAGTTTTTCCAGCATGCAACTGAGAACAATATGGATGGGCGATCCAATGGTTAGTTAGTTCTCTGAAGTTATCTGAAAATGCAATTTTGTGTGACTTCCTGTAATAGCGGAAAAAGGTTATGAGATTTCTGCTTGGTCCAAAAGTGCAGTATTAAATGTGTATGTAGATACAAGGCCTGTTCTAGCTTCCTTCCCTTCTGTGGGTCATCATCCAAGATTTTGCAACCATCCAGAAAGAAGTGGTCAGATGGTTTACGACCATGGCATTGGTTGTCAAGGTTGATGTGCTCATGTGCATAAGCATGGAGGTTTGCAGAAAGTAAAAACATTCAGTTAGTATTCCCATGAAACAAGTGCATGTTTTTCAATGCTGGCTTGCAATTCATGCCCGACCTTGCAGTTTCATGTTGCCCAGCTTGAGTATAAAAACCCCTCCTTGCATGGGGAGTGCTAAACCTCTTTGAGTTTTTTTTTTTTCTTATAGAAAACCAGTTTCAATACAATTCTTTTTCCCATCATGGTTAAAATGTCCTGCTGTATTCCCCACACTCATATACTTCTGTTAAGTTGATCCGTGATTTGGTGTTTCGCAGGACGTCCCAAGTCAGAAAAGAAATGATGGAGCACTCCAAAGGCACACAGATGATATTCCTTGCTGAAACGTGGTCTTGACTTCTTCCAGCAATACTTAATGTAATAAGTTTTTATTTGTCACATGTAAAATTGCAAGATATGGAAATATAGTCAATATAAAATTGAGTAGCTTGCCCGCCTTGCCCACAATTTATCAATTCATTATATGAAAAAGAGGGATTGAGATTCTTGGGACTAAAATCACTTGAGTTCAGCATCCAGTTATAGAGTAAAATCTTTCTGTAGCTTTTATTTCCATGATTTTTAGGATAACTTTTGCATTCGGCATCCAATTTTTTCAAGTGCTTATTTGGGCATTTGGTGGTCTTTTTCTCTAATAAGCACTTAAAAAAGCAATCATGACTCTTTTGTCCTTCATTTTCTTTCAAATTTTTAAAATATCCAATCTAAAGTGAATGAATAAAAGTAGTTTGATAGAAGTATAAAATACTTTTATAAAAATATTTTCTTTAAAGTATTTTTATAAAGTACTTCTGTAAAAGTTATTTTATAAAAGTGCTATGATAGAATATGAGGAAAGGCCGTGTTTGGTTTTATGAAGGCATTTTATAAAGTGCTTCTAAAAATTTCATAAAATTCAAATCAACTATTAAAAGGCATTTTAAGTTTTAACCCCATTTTCAGCATGAGTGATCTATTGTTTTTCTTATATGAACCGACAAAGTGGTAATATTACAAGGTTTAAAGTGTCATAGGTATCACACATTGTATTGTGTTGTATCAGTGTTGAAGGTCATCAATACTTAATATTGAGAGTATTTCAAAAATCCATCTGTGAATGAAGAAAAACTGAAAAAAAAAAATTGTATTGTGTTGTATCAGTGTTGAAGGTCATCAATACTTAATATTGAGATTATTTCAAAAATCCATCTGTGAATATCAAATTGAAGAAAAACTGAAAATTAAGAGTATTTACCGCATAATTTTTTTGTTCATGAGTGTCAAATTTTAAACCTTGGGTAATAAATAAGGGTGTCAATGGACCGGTTTTGGATTGGATCCCGTCCAGTCCAAAATCAATTTGGACGGATTGGTGGACCAACAAGACATTAGATTGGACCAATCCGGTCCAAAATATTTATCAGATTGGATTGGACCTGGTCCATCTGTAACAAATTTATATTGGATTGGGTTGGATTAAGCCAATATCTAGTCCATTAATATAAGATAAAGAATATATGTGTCAATGGATCGGGTTTGAGTTGAAACCAATCTAAATCAAAATGAATTTAAACAGATTGGGTGGTACAGACATTGAATTAGACCGGTCCAAATTGGTCCAAAACATTCATTGAATTGGATTGGACCTGATCCATTTATAATGGACTCACATTGGACTGGATCGAATTGGACCAAATCCAGTCCAATTGACACCCCTAAAGATATTTTCCTGCCAGAGTACACGGGGAACAATCTTTGTGCTCATCATGATTTGACAAATGTAAGGTGAAGTGACACCCAGTAAGTAGATAGAGTTTGAATATGTTCCCAACAAAACATGTTTGATTTGTAACTGCAACTGAGTAGATCCCAATTGAAGCAGATACCTTACAGAATAAATTAAGAGAGAGCTTTCACCTTTCACCGTAATTAGATTAAATAATTAAGATCAAAACAACTTGCCAATGTATGTAAAATAAAATGGTTGGACTATTAAAAGAACTTTTAACCAATTAGTATCATTAAGGGGGTATTCTTTTTTTGGATTTTGAGAGGGGGAAAGTTGGTCAATAAGAGGATTTTGGTTCCTATTGACCAAGAATCTCATATTATTTTTTCAGATTTATGTGGGGATCAGGGAAAATTTATTTTCCTGGTAAGTGATACCCATATCTTAAGTGGGTAAATAACTTTCCCACCTAGGGGGAAGTTGCCAACACTTGAATGAGACAAAAATGCCCCTTATAATAATAGAATTTTATGGCTAAAATGGTCATTACCTTATTTATATGAAAAATTAAAGAGCATGGGTAAATGCACTTACCTGGTAAATGTTTCCTAAGAAAAACTTTTCCAAATAATTGCATTTACTAGGATAAATAACTTACCAAAAAGCGAACATGGCCTAAAGTGAATCTAATCCCAGATCTACTCCTCACACATGGTGCCTCACACCAACCACTCAGATACATCCCACCATACATTGGGAATATCTTCCATACTTATATGTTATAATTTACAGGAGATGTTCCCAATGCAGAGTGGGGTGTGCCTGTGAGGCGCCCTGTGTGAAGGGTAGATCCGGTCTCCTCCACTGGTGCCCCTCTGAGCATGTATCAGGAACATCTCCCTTATTTGTCATCAGGAGGAGATGTTTCCAATACATGATTGAAGTGTTTTGTGGGCGCATCAATGTAAAGTCATTATGTGATATGACTTTGGTGGAATTGATTGGTCAAAACACAAGATCGACTTCAGTCAATGCAAAGCCTGTTTGAACACCGTTTAAACAGCTTTTACGGAACATTACGGAAATATTCTCAATACAAAGCTATAAGGTTGTTCGAAGGTGCTTTTCACCGACTGAATCCAGTTTCTCAAAACCTTTTTACATATGTCTTTTGGGCAGCGTAGCTTTTTCAAAGACTTATTTAATGACTGATATGAAATGTGAGATTGAACCAGTAGTCAATCCAGTGGATTCCTTATCCGTTGATAGCACTGCATCTGTTGGAAGCCGCCCCAGGTTTTATTGGTTCACTTTAGATGTCTCAAGTCTAAGCTTCGAATACCATCCATCCATTCTTGCAAAGAAAACTTGTGGGGATCGCATCGTTCGCTTTTCCTGGAATTTCAAGATTAATTGAACTTAAAGTGAAACCCACGTTTTACTTCAGCACATGATAATAAGGCTCACCTTGGAAACCTTATATTTTGTATTATTTCGTATGTATTTATATTATAAATATTTGTACTCTTTTCAAATTGAGTTTAAGGCTGTGTTTGATTATAATACAAATAAATTTATATTGATGCAAAATTATGCCAGCACAAATAATTTGAGTGTAAATTCTAACATATTTTTATTTCAAATTTTAGCTTATTTTGTTTGATTGTAGTAGTGCACTTCTATGCATTTGTACTAGTGCAAATAAAATTGCATAGCAACCAAACACAACTTAAAGAGAAAAAAAAAACCTCCATCACAACATATCTCACATTACTCGATTTTCTAGATCCGACTAATGGCTCAAACAAAATACATTTTAACACCCTTTCAATAGGTCTCAATTTTATGATGTGACCCATTCTCATGTGAAATGTGTGGTGTCACAGAATCAGATCATGTTGGAAGGGTGTTGAAACATTTTAGGATGTAATACAAGGAATTAATTCCCAATTCCCACATCTGATTCAAATCTAATATATATATATATATATATTAAAGGAAGGTCTTTAGGCTACAACCCCCCACCATTCATACAAGTGGCATTTTCATTTTTTGAAAAGCTAGACATATGGCAATTTCTAATAAATTCCTGTTAAAGCCCACAACTCACTACGAGGCTACCACTTCCCACCATTCAAGCATGTGGCTTTTTCATTTTTATGAAAAGATAGACACGTGGCATTTTCTAAGGAGTTGTTACTAAAACTCAAACTCCACTACCACCATTCAGACACGTGGCATCCTATTAATTCAATAAACAGGATTCAAAAAGTGGGTAGTTTCACTCGTAAACATTCTCAATAGATAGTTATTTATTAGCTTAATACATATTTATCCATAGTCTATTAAATACAAATGGTGGGACCCATTAAAATATTACCATAAATCCACATTTGTTTTTAAATGATTTTTTTTCAAAAAGAAAATACTTTATTAACTACAAACTTGATTTAACTTTTAGGAAGCAACCTAATTTAACTTTTAAAAGTAAATAACTCAATATAGATTTATTAGATAAATAGTAAATACCAAATAAAGTGGGTTATAGTTTACCAATAAGATCTCATTTAATATCTCAAATCAAATTAAAAAAACATAAATTAATAGTGGGTTTCAAATAAAATAGGTAATGATAAATTGTCAATTACAAGGATGTAAGACCCATATTAGTTTTTTTTATTTAATTTTTTATAACTAAATAGTAAATTTCAAACTAAATTATACACATTTAGTTACCCCACACTTAGTACACGGCTCATTCTCTAAGAATGGCTTTAGGCAACAATACCCACCCTTTAAACACGTGGCCATCCCACCATTCAGACACTTGTTCATAAAAAACTCAATTAGGAGAGTTTATTCAGTTCCCCACTCGGAGACGTGGCCATACAATACATGAGTTAGGAGATAATTTGTAAATCACGCACCTATTTTTTAGCAAACCAAAACCTCTCATTCCATTGTAGAATGTAGTAGGTTGGAAGGCCACCAACCTAAATTGTAAGAAGAGGAGATCTTAATGGGTTACTATGCTAGTTTTCTTTCCTCATTTGAACTTAAGTGTATTGAGTTCAATCTGCCTGAAACTGCAATTTTAGAGAAAAATCGGGTTCCTTTTTTTCGAGAAATTCAATCCGATTCTTCAAACTTTATATTCAAAGAACTAAGCACATTCTAGTTAGTGTATTTACATTATGTTCAATCTCTGTTTTCTTTTCATTCTCTGTTTCGCGTATTTACATGTTTCAATCTATGTTAATGGCTATTAGAAATCATCGCCGACCATCGGCAATCATTTATGCGCGGCCTCCAGCAGTTTGGAGATTTATAGGATAGTCATCGTTTTTTGAATGAAGCACGAACCAGCGCTTGAGAAGACGATGGCTCGAGTGAGTTAGAAAGGGTTGTTTATTCGGCCGACCGCCGGAGATCATTTATGCCCATTCGCCATTGGCTGGGAGGTTTATTATGGAGGGTTCCATTGAACACCGGCCAACTGCATTCACCGGCGGCTGTGATCACAGCTCAGCTGTGTTTTCCATTGTTTTTTATTATTTCTTCTTTCATTGTTATTATTTTCTGTTATTTCGAATTTTAAAGTCATAATTTTGTTTAAATGGGGTGATAAAGCACCCTTCTTTGGCCTCTCGAAGGCCGCTATAGCTGTTTTTTCATCGCTTTGTCGAGCAAGAAGTTATGTATTAGTTTCGGATTAAGAAGATGGCCTCATATGAGTCGGTCAAGTCGGTTCGGTTTGGCCCAGCTATCATATCGAGTCAAACTTAATAGCGACACGATTCAGGTTAATCGGTTTCATGTATTTAAGTTAGGCTGATTTCCAAGATACCCCGGTTTCATGCAGTTAAACCAAAACCGGTTTAGTTAAATATTGATAATTAATAACCATATCCGGTTTAATTAATTACTGATAATTAATAAACATGTTATCAATAGATAACATTAATTAAATCGGTTGGGTTTTAAACCCCACATGGTTTAATTAATTACGGATAATTAATTACTGCTAATCAATAATAACTATGCTAATATTGATATTATAAATAACATATAAATATTATTATTAGCAATGCTGGTATTAAAATCAGTAATACTAATATTATAATTATAATATAATACTACTAAAAGTTAACTGGTTTTTCTAATTCAATTTAGGGAAAGTTAATAATTATTAATTTATTATCAAATTTACTGAATTTAACATAACTGATTTTAAAATATAAATTTAACATTACTGATTTTATAATTGTTAGTATTAATATTACAATTTGTAAATAGGAAAATGTAATTACTAAAAAGTACTTGCTGAAAGTTTAATTACTAAAAATTTAATTATTAATATCAGTTAATAATTATTAATACATTATTAACATTATTGAATTTATAATCATTAAGATTAATATCAAATTTTGTAAACATTAAAATTTAATTACTATAAATAACTTCCTGAAATTAATGACTATTAATAAAATAGTAATAAAATAAGTTCCCGCTAATCAGATCACATTTAATAAAATAGTAATAAAATAATTGTACTATAATAAAATATTCATATATTATAAATAAAATACAAGAAAAATAAATATAATAAATTAATAATAAAATATACAAAAATTGAAAATTGTGTAGTTTATTCCGATTCCAACTCCAAATGAATTAAACAATAGCAACTGGAATCCTATTTCAATTCTTGAACCAAATAGGCATCAAGAAGAGGTGGTTTTGATTTTGATTCCAACTTCAATTATGTCCGTGAATCAAAAGGACCCTAAAATTAGTTTATGTTTATTAATTTGGAACTTAATAAATAAAATTAATAAAGTTAATAAAAAATATTAAAATCTAGAAGTTTTTATCTAACGACTATTAACAATTAAAAAACTAATAAAAATTAGTATTAATAGATAGCTTAACCCGGCTATACCTATATATTTGTAGGCTAAGCAACTATTTTCTTTTGAGTTAGGTCTAGCTTGGTTTTGCATCAATCTGGTGTATGGACAAAACGAATGTATCAATAATTAAATTTTCATATTTATAAATTTTATTAATTATTAAAAAACTATTTTTTAAAATAAATATTTCTTGAAATTTTAATCATTATTTAAAATATTAATAAATATACATTTAACATTACTGATTCCACAATGTAAATTTAACATTACTGGTTTTAACATTATTGAGTCGTACGGGGTCATTCACTAGTATTCAATGAAAGTTGAAGCTTAAAACGAAAGTCCAAAACATGTTTGGTGGATGCTCATATATTTTCTGGTCGGAAGTTTATAAGTTTAATATTGCTGTGACAATTGGGAAGGTGGAGGCACATTCAAGCCTGGATCTCTTGAAAGTCAAAATTGTGCAAATACCTTGAGAGCATGACATCAGCTGCATCAGGAAAGCTACCACGTGGAACCCCTTGTGAACATTGGAGTGCAACTTGGGCAGACCCAACCTAAGACCAAACCAACCCAGCTTGCAATTTTGCATGGGATGGGCTTAGATTTTTGATCCTTGGGCTGGGTTGGGTTTAAAAGTTCAAGCTTTTTATTTTTATTTTTATTTTTGGGCTTAGTCTGGACCTAGCCCTTAGGTAGTCCAAATCCAGCTAAACCTTGCCCCAACCCAAGCTTAGTCCAACCATATATATAGATGCATATATCACATAGACACATATTTGCATGTATGCATATACACATTTGTGTCAAATTTTAGTATGAATTGATTGACCAACTTGAGCTCAAGTATATCAAATTGTAGTGCAACATGGGGCCATGTTGGACAGATCAAGCTTGACTTCGGGCTCAAATTCAATCTAGGATTGAGCTTGGGTGAGTTTAAACCAAGCCCTAGCCTGCCCAATTCATACCAATGAAAACAACTTAATCAAAGCTTCAATCCTCGCATACAAGCCCTTAGGTTTTCTGTTTTGGGGCTTTGTATTATAATGTATTTTAATTCAAATCCAACTAAATGCTTAAAATACTTATTTTTTTTTCTTTTTTACTACATTCTAAAAGCTTATGCAAACGGAGCCTTATTCACTAAAAGACAAAACAATAATTCATTAAGTTCAGTGACTTCAGCTGTTATCAAACCGCCCCGGAATGCTTCATATCCGGTATGTCGATTGAAAATTTGACACAATTACATGTGTAATATACCTCAAAAATTCCCTGAAGGCTTAAGTTATCGATGTGTTCAGAATACGGGAAGCGCGTTTCCTTTTGTGATTTTGTCTTTCACACATTGTAAGCATGAGACGAGGTCTGGCCTCTCTAAGACCTGCGATCTAACACCAGCTTCACTTGTTTTAAAGGACTCAACACGAGGGACAGTGAATATAATTCTGTTGTTTGTATTGATTCATTTGTTGGAGTTGATCAGTCCTCGAGCAGTCTAATTCAAGGATCTGACACTATTTAGGTTGGTCTTTGCTAAATCTCAATTCTCAATCCTGTCCGTCTTGAATTCATCTTTATTATTCGATTTTGTTCGTATATTAGAATGTAGCATGATAGATCACGAAACTTTGCTGAAATCTTATTGACTTGATACAATATGCCGTGCGCATAAAGTTGTAATTCGAGGATCTGATGGATTTTGAGTGAAAAAATTTCAAAAGAACAAGATTATATTCGTTATAGTGTTTCAGAGTGTTCCTTTCCTCCCTCCGTTTTGTGCTAGGAGATTAGAATTCCAATTCAAAGCTCTTTTTTCTCTTATTTATTGGTGGGTGGGTGGGTTGGCTCTGGTCTCTTCTTCGGCATTCGGGTTACAACTTCAAAAAGTAGTGCGAAAGAAAGAAAAGATCCAATGGAGTATTAGTACTTGACAGTCTATATTTATTAAGAAATTCGCTTTTCAAAGCGTTTTTAGGGGAAAGATGGATTTTCTTACTTTCTTACTTCTCATATAGAAATGCATTAAATTTCCCTTATGTTCTGGATTTTAATACCGTTGTTTTTGTCATGTCAACGACATCTTCCTTTATATGTTTCATCCCATTGCTAAGATTTTCTTGCATTTTACAATCCTCAGATTCCAATTTGCGAAGCTTGTACGCTGACTACATCAAGGCAGTAATGTCGACAGGAGATGGAGAAATTAATGGAATGCCGGAAGGTGATAAAGAATCTGCTGTAAAACCAGAGAAACAATTGTTTGACACGAACATGAAGGGGGATGACGATGTTACAAAGCAAAATGGGGTCTGTGATATTATCCAATACTCTGATGCTACTCGTGAGCAGCTTGTACAGATGGTTATCGAACTCAATTTTCAGAATGAGTATTTGAAAGCTCAGTTTGAAGGCTTGAAAAACCTGCATAGTGAGGCTTGCAGTCAAGCAAGCAAAACTGGGCAGGAAGGGGTTAGGTCTGAAAATGTGAATGAGCTACATGAAAAGATAGAATCTTTGAACAAAGAACTTCTGGAGCAGAAATTGACACAAAATGCTGCAGAGGATGCTTTGAAGCATCTCCGGGAAGCATACTTCGAGGCAGATGCAAAAGCCCAAGAACTTTCTGTCAAGTTGGCTGAAGGTCAGATGCACATTTTTTTCCCCTCCAGCTACTCAACACCATAAAATTATAATTCTGGTTATTTGATTCATACTTCTACTTAAAAAGATCATCTAAAAGAAGAAAACAGAGAATAAAGCAAGCATACATATTAAACAGGCCAAACAACAAAAATAGAGAACCAACATAAAGACGACTTTCCTAATAAACAAGACCATGGTACAAATCTGCTTCAGAGATCTGAGATCCCGACTCAGGCCAACCCATCTGCTACAGAATTCACTGACTTAGGAAACCATTAGAACAAATTGTTTAAAATAGTGGTGAGATCTGGGCTTTTCTAATGAAATGCAACAACATCTATGGGCTATTAAGCCTACTCTGGAGCCAACCAATCTTCAATTGCAAAACTTTTCCACCAATAGTGCTAAACCCTAAATGAGAGGAGTATTTAAGCCCTTATGAGAGTTCTGGTAATCCATCCAGTGATTTCTTGGACTGAATGGATCATCAGCATCAACACCTAAGCCTTGTCCCAACTATATGGGGTTGGCTACATTAATCCTATTTTTCATTCTGTTCTGTTCAATGTATTGTTAAATTATGGGTGCCTGTATCATTTCTTATTACTTCCACCCAAGTCTTTTAGTCCCTTCAACTTGTAACGAATTACTTTTTCTAATGGGTGTCGTAGATGGTCTTCTGTTTACGTGACTAAATCATCTGTTTACTTTCTCTCATTTTATAACCTATTGGAGCTACTTCTAGGTTCCTTCGTATGGCTTCATTTTTTATCATGCCCTTAGTTGTGAAACACACCTGAAATAATTCAAAAAATATAGAAAAAGAAAAGAAAGAAGAAAGAAAGGTTTCAGTAGAGGTTTGTGGAAGAAGAAGGAAGAAGAAGAGAAGGGAAGAGAGAAGAGAAGAGTTTGATCCTCTCTATCTAGCCACCCAAGATATCTTTTATTCTCTTAATTCTAAATTGAGTGCAATTCCCTGGATGCCCTTAATGGGGCGACTAACACTAAAGAAATAATAAAACAAAACAAAAGAGGCCCACATAATTGAAAGAACATAAACTTAAAACAGAACTTAAAAAGAAATAAAGACACTAAGGCCCATTCGACCCATTCTCACTACACTCCCCTTCAGGTTGAACATATACGTCAATCATGCCTAGCTTGCTTACATAATGTTGAAGCTTTGCTTTTGGAACTCCCTTAGTTAGAAAATTCGCTAGTTGCTCTTTTGATGTAATAAAAGGAAGGCACACCTCTCTTGAGACCACTCTCTCCCGTATAAAGTGTCTGTCTACCTTGATGTGCTTACTTTTATCATGCTGAATTGGGTAGTGAGAAATTTTAATAGCAACCTAATTATCACAATATAACATCAATGGCTTGTCACATGAGACACCCATCTCATCAAGGAGAGATCTAAGCCATAACAACTCAGAAGCCCCATGGGCCATAGCCTTATACTTTGCCTCAACTGAAGATTTAGCAACCAATGACTGCTTTTTACTTCTCCAAGAAACAATATTCCCAACTACAATAGCATAATAGCCTGATGCGGACTTCCTATCATTAGCATTACTTGTGCTATCAACATTTGTATATGCTTCTACCTTCATATGATCATGTTTAGCAAATAGTATACCCTTCCCAAGAATTCCTTTAAGATAGCATAGTACCCTTTTTGCAGCAGCCATATGTGGACCTCTTGGAGCATGCATGAATTGGTTGATTACAATTACAGTTCACAACATATGAAATGTCTGGATGAGTCATACATAGGTAAAGAAGTTTCCCCAGTAATCGTTGAAACACTCTCCTGTCAGCTAAAAGTTCTCCATCATTAGCTGAGAGTTTATGATTCACATCAATAGGGGTGGAGGCAGGTTTAGCACCAAGTTTTCTAGTCTCAGTAAGAAGATCCAACACATACTTATGTTGAGAAATAAAGGTACCTTATTTGGACTTAGCAACCTCAATGCCCATAAAATACTACAACTCTCCCAAGTCTTTAATCTCAAATTGAAAATCGAAGAACTTCTTGAGATCATTAACTTCTTCTATATTACTGCCAGTAATAATAATATCATCCACATAAACTATAAGAAATGTAATTAGAGTATTTTTCCTCTTAACAAAGAGGGTTTGATCTGATTGAGTTTGAGTGTAGCCGGATTAAACAAGAGGCTCTTGTCAAGAGCAGCCCTAAACCTGTCAGACCAAGCATGTGGAGATTGTATCAAGCCATAAATGACTTCTTCAATTTGCACACCTTACCATATATACTAGGGGGAAGGGACATATATACTTCTTTAGTGAGATCACCATTCAGCAATGCATTCTTAACATCAAACTGATAAAAAGGCCAATCACAACTCACAACTAAGGATAAAAAAATTCTCATAGAAGTCATTTTAGAAATTGGAGGAAAGGTCTTAGTGTAATCTATCCCATACACCTGGGTATATCCCTTGGCAACAAGACGTGCCTTGTATTTCTCAACTGATCCATCTACATGATACTTGATAGTGTAAACTCACTTACACCCAACAGGTTCCTTTCCAGCTGGCAAGTCAACAATATCCCGTGTATTATTTTTATGAAGTGCTTCTATTTCAATCCTCATAACATCCCTCCACTCTGGTTTGGTTAAGGCTTCAATCACTGACTTTGGGATGGGTTAAGAGGAAATGAAGGCTAGAAAAGAATAACAGGATGGGGATGACAAGCTATAAGAGGTGTTTGGAAATGCAATGAGCTATACATTTCCTCTTACCCTTTCTTAGAGCAATGGGTAGGTCAAGGTCTGGAAGCGAGGGTGCTGGTGGTGGAGATGTCAAACCTGTCCTCTCTTTGGTGATTGGAAGCACCTGAAACTCAATTGGAGATGTGGGATCAACCTATGTTTGCCTTAACCTTTGCTGTTGGTACCACTTTGGAGAATAGGATGTGTGCTAAAAACTTGACTAGCAAGAGGAGGGGGAGGAGCAGGAGTGGAAGACTTCGAAGGAGAGGATCCCTTAATGGGAGTGGGGGTAATTGTCTAGGGCTCAACATGAGACTCAACTGGAGCTGAAAAAGGAAGGGGTGAAGGAAAAAATTCAAGAGAACTCTCCCCCTTAGAAGGATGACTACAAAAAGGGGCCGACTCTTCAAAGGTGACATCCATGGAAACAAGCCGAGTGCCACTAATGGGATCAAAACAACAATACCCTTCTGTGGAGGCATAACGAAGAAAGATACATTTCTGAGCCTTGTGGTTCAAATTTATATCTCTTGGAACTGGGAATGTGGATATAGCAAGTGCAACCAAAGACACGCAGAGGAATAGAGAAAACCTCAACACCAGGAAAGAGGACTCCAAAAGGAGACCTTAACCCCAAGACTTAGGAAGGCATACGGTTAATAAGATAAGTGGTTGTTAAAACTGCATTACCCCAAAACTTCATAGGAACATGGGTAGCAAAAAGAATACTCCTTGTAACTTCCATAGTATGTCTATTTTTCTTTTCCGCTACTCCATTTTGTTGTGGAGTATGGACAAAAACTCTGATGAACAACCCTAAATCATAGTTGTCAAGGTGTCGCCTAGGCGCCCTTGGCTGGGTGCCTCGCTCAAATGCCTTGACTTTTAGCAACTAGGCACCCTTCTAGGCAACTAAGCACCCGCTTAGGCGACAAAAATGACAAGGCGGGCGCCTTTTATAATATCATTTATATTGTTGTATCTTATTAATGTATGTGTTAATACATTTTATTATATGCTATATATATCAATTATACTTTATTTTGATGTTTTATGATTGAAATTTAAAAGATCAAAGGGTTTTGAGCAGAGAAAAAGAAAGAAAGAAAGAAAGAAAAGAAAGAGGAAAGAAAGAATAGAATAATAAAGTTATTTTTTTTTCTATTCTGTCTCTCTAATTAAGTAAAATAGAAACTCCATCCTTGTTTTTTTTTTTCTATTTTACTTTCCATCTTGAATATTTATAATATAAAGTTAATAACCTTCTTTAGCTGTTAATTAATATGAATTTGCTCTATTAAATACTTATTATAGTAGTATTATTTTTGAAAATAATGAAATTAATATATGTAAAAGATTTTTATCTTTAAGGTGTGTTGATTTGCCACATTTTTTAGAGGAAATTTAATGTTCTTAATAAAGAGACTTGCTATTTTTTCAATTAACATACATGCTGAATGGTATATAAAACTAGGAAACTAGCTAAAAGTCAATTTTTTTATATTATAAAATTGTTATCGCCAAGGGGACGCCTAGGTGACAAGGCGACTAGGCACCCCAGTGTTGCCCAGAATTGCCTATACGCCTTGAAAACTATGCCCCAAATTTCTCAAGGTAGGAGGTAAAGTCTTTCTCAAAATATTCTTTAGCATTGTTTGATCGAAATATTTTGATGCGGGTATCAAACTAAGTGAGTATATATTCACGGAACTATTGCACAAGTTTATGCACTTCAGCACGAGAGTGCATAAGGTAAATTTAGGTGTATCGTGAAAAGTCATCAATAAACAGGATGGAATATGTATAATTACCCATAAAAGATAAATGCTAAGGCCTCCACACATCATAGTGAACAATATTAAAAGGAGTAGTCAATCTTTTATTACTTGAAGGATAAGTGTTCTTACAATGCTTTGAGAACTCATAAGACTTACAATGTAGACTTGGCAGACTTATTCCTTTATATAGTTTTGGAAACAACTGACAAAATGAAGAGAAAGACAAATGACCCAAATGACTATGACATAACATAATACGACTAATGGACTCAGAAACAAATGTAGTTCTTTGAGGTTGTACTTGGCTTTGCATAGGGCATAGGCATGTCTAACAGATAGATCCCATTCGCCTCATAGCTTCTCCTAATCACCTTTTGAGATTTCATGTCCTGAAAAACACAATATGAAAGCAAAAAGGTCACATTGCAATTTAGGGTTTTAGTTAAATTACTAACTGAAAGCAAATTGGTATTGAGTTTAGGTACATGAAGAACAAATGATAAGGTCAGGGCATGTGAGGTCTTAATGTCTCATTTTCCCGTGATAGGGGCAAGGGAGCCATCAATAAGGGATATCTTGTCCTAGCCAGAAAGGAGTTGGTAAGAGGTGAATAAATGTGAAACACTGTTTATATGGTCAGAGGCACTAGAATCAATTATGATAAGTGATTTTATGAGTACCTGAAATAGAGCATGATTTATAGTGGCACGAATACCTGAGTGTGCATACGCAGAGGAAGGAATTGCCTATGAAGAAGTAGATGCTATAGCAGTAGACTCATATGATTGGTTATTTGGCCATACTTCTCATACTCGGCTCTGGTGTCTACAAGTTTCTTTCCCACTGATTTCTCACCACTCTACCCCAGTTCATTCTGTGAGGAGGTGGCTACATTTGCATTTCCACCTTTTCCATTCTCAATCCTCTTTCCACTATTTCCATTCTCAAGTTTGGCAGGAATGAGCTCTGGGTGCAGCTTCTAATAAGTGTCTTTAGTATGTTTAGGCTTCTTGCAGTACTTACAGATAACATCTTTCTTCCTAGTGTTGACCTTTAGCTTCATCTCGACATTGGCATGGTGATCAACCTACGACTTTACAGACTAAACCTGTCTTCTACTCTCCTCACTACTCCACCATAGCATATAAGCCTGAGACAAAGTCACCTCATCCTTTGCCAAAACATTCTGTTTCACAATATCATACTCCGGGTTGAGTCCCGTGAGGAACACAAAGACCTGGTTTCTTTCCACCAACTTCCTATGTGTTTTTGCATCCTTTGTACAACCCCAAACAACAATCTCCATCAAATCAATCTCCTAGCAAATAGATTTCAACATGGAGAAATAGATGGCTAAGGGCTTTTTCCCTATCTTAGATTATTCACATCATTCTTTAATTTGTAGGCCCGAGCAACTTCAACTTTGTAGAGAAGATGGGCCGAATGGCCCATAGGTTGTTTATTCTTTCTTGTTATTTATGTTTCTTTTCTGTAATGGGCCTTWYTYTGGGCCCATCCTGTCTATATTAAGTTCTTTGTAAATTCTTGCCCACCTAAGGGTGTTGAGAGAGAGTTGGTTCGAAACTCTCATTCTCAGACCCTCATTGCTGAACTCTCAAGCTCTCCTCTCTTCAGTTTTCTTCAAACTTTTGGGAATAGGTCTCTATGACACTATTCCAAACTTCCTTTGTAGCTTCCATCCATAAGTAGTGCTGACTAATATGTGGCTGCATAGAGTTCACTAACCAACCCATTACTATGTAGTTTTTCTACATCCACCATTCATAGGTAGGGTCATCCTTCGCCGTTTTCTTCTTGCTCCCGATAATGTAATTCCATCTCCCTCTATTACACATGTATTTTAATTAACCGACACCAAGCTAAATAATTGGTTCCATCCAATTTCATAGTGGTCATTGCCCCCAACAGAGTCTCCACTAGCCCCCCATGTCCAAACCTTGAATATGTGGGATATTTGGTTTTTCCTCCAGTTTGCTCCATTGAGTGAACATGTGCGAACGAAAATCAAATTAGGGTTTTATTAAGCTAGATTTTGTATTCCAAGCAAACAACAACTCTTTAACCACCCAAAAATAGGGTTCCATAGGATCCAACAGGATGAGAGGAGAGAGGCTTCAACCACTGCTACTAGAGGTTCTAGAACTCTGTCCAATCCAAGCCACCCTTAGTAGAAATCAAAGAGCTCCCCTTTGATCCCCAATTGCTAGCTACAAAGTGTCTCTAGGACCTGTAACAAGATTTCTTCAATTATCTAGGGTTTTCGGGAAAATTCTCCAAAAACCCTCCTAACTGGGCTACATAAGCTGCTGATTTGTTCTCCATACACACTGCATATGGGCTAAGAAAGGAGAAAGATGTTGAAGGTGAGAACTTGCTTTGATACCAAGTTGTGAAACACACCTGCAATAATTCAGAAAATATAGAAAAAGAGAAGAAAAGAAACTGAGTACAATTCCCTGGATGCCCTTAATGGGGCGGCCAGCACTAAAGAAATAATAAAACAAAACAAAAAGGCCCATAACTGAAAGAACATAAACTTAAAACATAACTTAAAAGAAATAAAGACACTAAGGCCCATTTGGCCCATTCTCACTACACCCTTCTTAGTTTTGCCACCACTCATCCATCTAAGCATTCACATTTCTACTACACTCATTTTTTTGTTGGATATGTTGTTTCTTGACTACCCAACACTTTACTCTGTACAACTGTTTTATACAATTTTCCTTTTAGCCGAAGTATCACATAGGACTCTGGGTACATCCCTCCATTTTGCCTACGGGGGACATCCTCATCAATCTCTCCTTTGTTATGAATTATTGAAAATGGAAGATGTATTAAGCTATCTCTTGGTCTCCAGTCATGTGTACCCTAGTTTGTACTCCTACTATTATTTTTTTTTTTTGAAAAATGGTAACTCTCATTCAAAAGAAAAAGCGGGGGGGGGGGGGGATGTACAAAAAGAAAAACCTGACCAGATTTACATAGGCAATGTATTTACACTATATGAAGAAGCCTTATCCATCCTGATTTAGCAAGAAGATCAGCCAATGAACTTAATTCTCTTGGAGTTCATCTATATGAAACAACAAATTCTGATGAAATCTCCCGGATGTCAGTTAAGAAATGGGCAGATCTCCATGGCCCCACAATAGAACTTGAGACCTGACCAATCATATTTTTTGAGTCACCGTCAACAAGAAAAGGCCTGACTTGAATGGATTTGGCCATCCTTAGACCCACTAGAAAAGCTTTAACTTTGCTTTAGCAACCTCAGCTTCCCCAGTAGGACACTGAAAGCCCACAATAGAGAGAACTATTGACATCCAAAATGTGTATCCCAATCCCAGCTGGCCCTCGGTTGCCATCAATATCTCTATAGCTCCCATCAACAAGAAATCACAGATAGGTTTTAGGCAAAGAGTGAGCTGAGGCTGAGATTCAAACCCTGAAGGGTGAAGCACCTCAACAAGGTTCCTGTGCAGATGCACTGGATTGACATCTCTGAAGTGAGGGTATTTGTTAATGCTTACCAACCATTAATGCCTATAACTAGACACAATGTTTTTTTTTATCAATGAGATAATGTTTTATTAGAGTTAGAACAGAAAATTACAACAGGGTGAGAGTGTTCTTTTCCAAATTACAGTTTACAGTTCAGCCCAAAACAATTGGGGTCTCCTAGCCCCTTGTTTAGCTAGAGTATCTGCCATCTCATTTGCTGTTCTTCTCACCCATTTGAAAGTAACATTCAGCTCCCTTACAATGCTCACAATCTCCCTAAAAGTATGCCTATAGATTCATGGGATTTGGGTGCTACATCTTGTCCATGCAATGACCACTTGAGAGTCCCCTTCCACTTCCAAATTAAGGAATCCAAAGTACCTAGCAAATCTTAATCCCTGCAGGAGTCCAATTAGCTCTGCAGTCAGTGCGTCCCCACTGACATGATGTTCTTGAGCTGATCTTCAACAGTTTTAATTAAGAGAAGTAGGAGTAGTAACTATAGAAAAATGAAATACTGGGTTGTCACAAAATAAAAATAGAACTCAAAAAGAAAAATTCTTGCAAAATAAAAAAATAAAATACCATTAAATTTGAAACTTATTCCATATCCCTTAACACTGCACTGTCTCTCGTGCCTTTCCTCAGGTTGCATGTAACTCTTATTTGCTGGTTTAATAAAATTCCACTCATTTATCAAAAAAAATACTGCAATGTCTCTAAATGTTCTTTTTGACTTTATAAATTTTTAATTAATTTCATTGTTTATTCTTGTAGTTCAACAGAAGATGGACCAAGAAATAAAAGAGCGTGATGAGAAGTACACTGAACTTGACTCTAAATTTGGCAGGCTTCATAAACGGGCAAAGCAGCGTATTCAAGAGATACAGAAGGTAACTATATTTATCTATGTATTTCTTTATATATTGTGGTTATAGTAGCAGTTGGATGCATATGAAATATTTGTTGACAGATAGAATTAAAATTGTATTATATGTAAGTGTTGGGTAGGGAGTGATTGTATTGGACTTAGTTGTTACATATGCTTTAAGGGGTACTCATTCCCTGATTGTATCACTTTCTGTATATTCTTGTTTATATAATGAAATACTTTCTGTTACCTATAAAAAAAATTGTATTATACAATAATTCTATGAGGGACTAGATGTCCTTGTACAAGAAATTAAATGGCCATGTCACTTTGTTTCATCTACACCTTACAGAACTTTTCTTGGGAGAAAAGAAGGTTTATTAATCAGAAAGCAAAAGGATGTGCATGTGACACATTGTTCAACAAGGAGCTATACAATGGTTCTCCAGAATGTCTAGAAAGTCATAGTTCCATCTCTCTCTCTTTCTCTCTCTCTCACACACACACACAATCTATCTAGCTGTACAGACACACACGCACAAGTAATCAAAAAGCTTTATTGGGAGAACAGAGTATAAGTAGGCCTTCAGTCCAATTTTTTACAGCAACTCGTGCCTATGATGCATGTACAGTGAATCATAAATAAAAAACTGAGAGTAAGACGCTGCACTGAACTTTTTTTGCATACTGGAATCCATGAACATCTTTACCTCCTTTCATTTAGGCCCTTCAGCTGCTGACATAGAACTGATTCCCTAATGGATGGCAGAAATACTCATTGTGCTCCAAAGATGTTCAAAATGTGGGCCTGTAGGAATTGGCTGAAATCACAATGAAGGGATAGCATCTTTTTTATTTTTGTTTTTTTTTGATAAGCAAGGAATAGCAATACTATCAATGCAATGAATCAATTGGGAGTTTTTCTGTTCTCTTTTTGGGTGCAGGTGGGACTCCTCAAGGTGTGGTGGGCATGTTCAGTTCTAACTTCTTGAGGCAATCAAAAAAAAGAGGGAAGGTGCTCTAGAGAGCCACTAAAGCAGCAATTTGCTGAGTGGTTTTGGAAGAAAGGAATAATAGGATCTTCTCTGAAAAAAGTAGGACTTTGGAGGAAGTGATAGACAGCATAAAATTAAAGGTGTCATTATGGGTAAAGACATTGGATAGCTTTCAAATCTTCTTAGTTACTGACATTCTAAGAGCCTGGACCTAAATAGCAGTCATTGAGAGAAAAAGATAGAGTAAGCTGGAAAGCAACAAAGTCCAATTGGATTTTTGATGGAAGCTCCATTGGAAACCCGAGTATGGTAGGAATAGGAGGGGTAATCAGAATTTCTGAGAGGAGGATTTTGGCCTTGTTTTCTGGGCCAATTGGTCTGGGAAACTTTTTGAAGGCTGAACTGTTGGCACTGCTGCAAGGTCTTTGGTTAGCAAAGCAGTTGGGTTTTAGATGGGTTAAGGTGGAAGGGGGTTCAATTATCTCATGGGCAAACTGCAACAGTCGTACTCATTGGACTCTTAAACATGTGATAAGGGAAGCGGAAAGGATTGCTAAGGTTAATAGAGGCTGAATTTACATGGGTTAGAAGAATTGCAAATTGATTAGCTGATTTCCTTGCCAAACAAGGGGTTATGAGACAACAACTATTTTGGGCTTCTATGTAACTTGGGTTTGAAAGTGGGGGATTACATTCCTGTCATCAAGTTATACTAACTACTTTAATTAAATCTAATAAAATAAATATATTTTGTGCTGATAAAAAAAATGAACCAATGACTAGTCATTTTGACCTCTATAGTTGATGCAGCGACCTGTTAGTGCCTAGCTTTTAACTAGTTGGCAATATATTACCTTCAAAAATTTACAAAAAGGTATGACTATAAGCATCCAGAAATCATTTGCAAAATGTTTAACCTTTGTTTTTCCAAGAAAGAGTGCATCCTTTGACAGTTTGACCATTTGGTGTTCCCCTTGTTTGTGGCAATTCCATACCAGTATAGGATTATTGGAAGAAAACTTAAATGAACCTCTCCACCACTTTCACCTTTTGTTTTATGCGTTATTTATATTTTATATACCATCAGCTAATCATGCTCCAAAACAAATACTTATAGCAATATGCCAACAACATGCATATGAAAAACAAAGGAATTTCTAAATGAATTCTTGATTTAAGTTCCTGAAATTTGTTTTCTCAAAAAACAAGTTCCTGAAATTTGTAAACTTTGCCTTTCTAAGCATGAATGAACTTTCTAATTTAGTGATTGAAATGCGTTAAACAGGTTATTTTTGTGCCCACAGCTTTCTATTTTTTTTTTGGTATTTTTGTGATGCGCACCACTAATAACCCCCTGCCCCCCAAATTTGGTGGTTGTGGGAATTGAATCCGCATCTATGCTGGAGCGAACCAATATGCCTTTCCCTATTTTTTTCTTTTGTTTATAAGTTTATTGAAAAACTTGGGAAATTTTCTTGGTGGAGATATGAACATTCTTCTTTTTTTTTTTTTCCTTTCTTTATGTGTGTAGGGGATTGGGGGTCAATATTCAGCAAAAACATGGGAGAATAATGAAATAGAATTAATTTATATTAAGACAGACGTATATGATAATGTGGTTATATATATATATATATGATGCGATTAGTGTTGGTCTTGGACAGTTTTTGCCTTAAAAGTTATTTAGCTTGCTTTTCTCCTAAAGAAAGAAGCACCTCTTAGTTATGTAGGAGTTGAGTCCGTATCTTGATTGGGATTGTGACTTTCAGGAAAAGGATGACCTTGAAGCCCACCTTCGTGAAGTGAATGAAGTGGCTGAGCGAGCATCATCCCAGCAATCTTCATTGCAGCAAGAGCTTGAACGCTCACGGCAACACGCAAATGAAGCATTGCGGGCAATGGATGTGGATAGGCAACAATTACGTACTACAAATAATAAGTACAATATCCCATTAGTTGTTATTATTAATTTTGGATGACATGTTCATACAAAAAGAAGCTATTACTGATTTTTCATATAGGACTTTATGATTAATATCATGTATTATCGTTGAAGCTTACCTTTTGTATTGATTGTTACAACTTGTCTTTTAATAAAATAAATGGCTTATGTTTAGACTTTAGATTAAAATATTTGTTTGCATATTAAAAGAATTGTATGCATGTAAAAATACATTGAGGTTCTACCATCTCACAAGGACAAAAGGAAATATGTGTAGATTGTATTCTCTGGATAAATAATATGCAAAGCCTTGTTCCAATCGTTCAGAATTAGCTATGTGATTCCTGTTTCCCTGGCCATATCTTTTGCTGAAGTATAAGGCCTCCAAGTCCTTTTTACAATCTTAAGTTCAACTATTATCCTCCCTTCATTCCATTTAGATCCTTGCAAAAAGTACCACTCTTGGCTGGTTTAACTGATGGTCTTTTGTGCACATTATTGAGCTCTCTTAGGCCAAGTTTGGGAGTGCTTATTTGAAAAATAAGTGCTTAAAAACAAGTGCTTATTCGAATAAGCACTTATTTGCATTTGACATTCAGCTTTTTCAAGTGCTTATTTTAAAAAATAAGCACTTATTTTTTATTAGGTGTTTGGTGGTCTTTTTCTCCAATAAGCACTTATTTCATTTAGAAAGACAACTTTAACCCTCATTTTGAGAGTGCCACATGTACAATGATTTAACAAATTCTTAAACAGTAAATCAAGCAAATTATATGCCATTAAAATGATAATTTTAATTAATTGGAGTGACAAAACTGGTGCACTATGGGTTCCGTTCCCTCTTCTAATTAGTTTTCCTTTTTTTACTGTTTCTCCTCTTCCTTACTACTTGTTTTCTACTCATACTTTCTGTTTGTTATCCCTCCTATAATAAATCACCAATCCAATTCTATGCAAATCATACATTATGAAAAAAAAGAAATAAAAAGAAAATCCAAAATTGACAGATTAAAGAAAGTCTACAAGAATACGATCATCAAATGACATACGATCCTATGCATTCTTTTAAGGATCAAAATATTAGTTCAAAACCTTCTACCAGAATTCCCAAACCCAACCACTTAAATCCCAAAATGACAACATGGTATTCCAAACAAAGAAGGCAAACCACACCCACAACCTCTCTACCAATATCAAGCCAAAACCACCCACAAATACCAATAGATTCAATCAACACAAACCGATCAAAAAACTGAATTCTTAGCAGACATTCGTACCAGATCAAGAGGAATCCACCCAAAAAAGACTGTGGAAAGCAGATCGACCATGAAACAAACAGGCATAGGCATTCAGACAATCAAGACAGAACCAAAGAATTATCGACTGCAGGCTTTGCTACATAATTTGGATCAATTCAAATCTCTGTTCCCAAGCATGTTAGAACAGGATCCTTTGAAATTCAAATACCTGTTTCCAAGAGTGTTAGAACAGGATCCTTCTTCTTAAAACCTGAAGAAGGAGAAAACAAAGCCTTACTTGAGCGTGCTTTCAACTGCTGAAACACGCATCAGATTAACAGATAGTGGATACTTGATTGACGATGAGTGTGATTAGAAGAGTGACAGAGTTTCTTTGGGATTAAAAGTTAAAACTGGAAAAAAAAAAGAAAAAAATGGGTAAACTCCAAACCCCCCGAACTATGAGAAAACGGACAAAAAACAAAAAGGGACCATACCTTACACTGGTTGATCAGTGCAAGCTGCAATTCTGCCACTGGTATAGTGAGAGGACGATGGAGAAGAATAAAATGAAACATGAAAAAAATGAAAATAAAAAAACTCTACTATTGATTGTTTAAGGATGTAAAAATGCAGAAGAAAAAAAGAGAGGACAATTGGAGAAGAAAGGGTCAAGTTGCAGCTCCGCCACTGGTTGGAGAAGACGAGGGAGAAGAAAGAGTCGAAGAGCCAAACCCTATGTTTTTGGACAATTGAAGGGCATAAGTGGTATTTTGAAATCTAATTGGGGACAATTTTGGAATCAAAATTTTTAATAAGTGCTTATTGTATAATCACTTAAAAAAAGCTGGAATTTTTGGCTTCTTCAATAAGCATTTATTTCGGGCTTATTTCCCAAATGTCAATAAGTGCTTAACGGTGTGGTCCTGGCCCAAACTAAGTGCTTATTCAAATAAGCACTTAGTCTATTTTACTTCATATTGTCATTTTGTCACATACTTAAGCACTCTAGATGAGGTCCTAAGAGAATGTTTACTTTAATTGAAATAAATAGTAGTTTAATGGTTATTTAATTTCTTAGCCCTTTGAATCCGGAAAGGAATTTCTGTAACTTATTGTATTTTCTAGATTTGCAAAGATTTTGGAGTTTGAAAATTTCAGTACCTGTTGCCCTTTTAGTAAGTTGTTTTATGGTATCTAGAAGATTTAGTTTGAGTTAATGATGTGCCATTTTGGGTCTACAAAGTTTTCTTAGATTTTAAGTTAGAATCGTGTTGCTTTTTCATTACGACTATTTTTTAGTGGCCAAAACATGTCAGTTGATTTTTTTTTTGCATCTCTGGAAAGGTTTTGAGTTACCATGATATTGTGAACCCAATGTACATCATGAAAATTATGGCCATTTTATTGGCATGGTGTCAATGGGTAATGATGTTGAATCTAGAGTTTTTTATTTTCTTTGAGTTAGGGTTCATCATGGGCCTGGGCTGGGAGAAGAGGTGTTAGATTGGGGTTGCCCGGGCCTGGACTGTAATTTGTAAAGTTTCTGTTTGTGGCTGTTTTTGTAGTTCTTTGTTTCCTCCTACTTTGTACTTTGCAGGCCTGCTGTTCTCTGTTGAGCAGTTAGGTGATTTCTATTAATGAAATATTTTCTGTTATCTATCAAAGAAAAAAAAAACTAGGTCCTTTTGGTATCGGAGGGGCAATGAGGGATTGAAATGGATCAATTTTGGCTTTCTTCTTGGGTCCTTTAGGGATTGGGGACTCCCTAAATGCAGAAATTATGGCTCTGTTGTTTGGTTTGAGGCTCATAAAACAGCTAAACAGCAGAGAGTGGAGATTGAAGGTAAAGAGGTGTGGTGTCTTCCTATACCTCCAAAGATTGGGAGTTTCTGTTGGGAAGCCTTTCAGGAAAGAGTTAATATAGGCGATTTACTTCAAAGAAAAAGACCCAATAGTTGTTTGTGTCTTCACTGGTGTGCTCTCTGTAAAGCTTGTCGGCAAATTAAGAAAGATAGGATTTGCGGCAAATTTAGAAAGATTTGATTGATTACAGATTTGAATGAAAGATTTGATTTGATTGATTACAGATTTGAATAAATTTAGGAAGGATTAGATTTGAATAAATTTAGGAAAGTCATATCCTAGGATTAAGGGAAAGATTTAGTCAATCCCTGATTGAGAGAGATTCTAGGAGTTTGTCTCTCCTATCTCTTCTTATTTAACCTGTATGCTCAATATGTTTTCATCATCACATTATCAATAAAGAAAATCTTCTTCTTTTCTCCCTCTATACTTCGCAACAAAGCTGATGAAGAGTTTGGATACCATTTATTCATTTCCTGTCGGTTTACTAAAGTCATTTGGGAATGGTGTACTTCTTTGTTTGGGCGCAGGTGGACCCCCCCGAATGTGCAAAGCTTATTCATTTACATGCCAAATTGGCCAACAAAAAGGGCCAAGAAACTGGAAGGAGATTGCAGAATTAACTTCAGCTAAGAAGGCATCAAACTCTTGTTGTATTCCTCCACCTCATGGCTTTATTAAACTGAATTTTGATGGCAGCGGTATGGGTAATCCAGGGCCATCTGGAATAGGGGGAGCAATATGAGATGAACAATGGAATCTGTTAGCTATGTTTTCTGGACCAATAGGGGTGGGAGATTCCTTGAGGGCTGAGATACTTGCAGCTCTTGAAGGGGTACAAAGAGTAAAGGATATGCATTTTAACAAGCTGATCATAGAAGGAAACTCTGAAGTTGTGGTGAACTGGTTAAAAGAGGATAACTCTAGGATATGGAATTACAGCAACGAAAAGAGAAAATTTAAGTGGCTGACTAAGGACATTGAAATTCAGTACAAATGGGTAAAGAGAAGCGCAAACTCACTGGCAGATGGTCTAGCTAGGCAAGGGGTGAACAGAAACTCTATTTTTTGGGCTGTTTTGTAATTGTTTTTTGGTGTTCAATGGTTGCACTCGGGAGCTAAGATGGTTTAACCCCTTTGCTTGTAATTTCTAATATTTTTAATTCAATTCAATTCACAGTTATTGATAAAAAAAAAGAGAGTGGAGATTGAAGGGGATTCGAAGTTAGTAATATCTTGATTACAGTGTGGTAATCAAGGAGTATGGATATATAGACAAGTCTTAAGGGAGATAAAGTGCATAGCTAGAGAGATTGATGCTAGTTTTTTTTTGGGTAAATTGGTCTGCAAATAGCTTGGCAGATTGCTTTGCCAAGCAAGGGGTGTCAAGGGATCATATGTTTTGGGCTATATTGTAATTCCATGGGGGTCCAGGTTGTTTGACCTGGATTGTATTCTGGTTTGGACCTTGGTTTGCTTTTAAAAGTTAATGACACCTTTCTTATTGATAAAAAATGTGTTTTAATAATAACACAAGAATATCTACCAGTGCCTACTAGCCAATAGCTCAACAAAAAATTTCTTTCTTATAAAAGGAGTACTTAGTCAAGGAGATCCATTGCCACCTGTTTCTGTCTACTTTGATTTCAAATGTTTTTTATTACCTCATTTCAAGAGCAGATTGACTTGGAATACATTCGGGAGTAGGTGGTTGTAACTCATTTGCAATTCATGAATGACATTTTTTTTCGTGAGGAAAAAGGGGAGGAGGGAGTCAGGAATCCCCATCTATTATTAAAGTTCTTTGAGAGCATTTAAATCTTAGAAAGAGTTGTCTAGCAGGTATCGATCTCAATGGGAAGATGACAGGAAGGTATGTTGAAGTCTTGGGAT